AGCCAAGTCAATCCATAGTCAGAAAAAGGAGACACGAATTACACAATGGAGGTACTATGCTGAATAATCCATTGTGCTGCGGCACAGAGCAGCCGCACAATGACTGGAAAATCAGTGTGCGCAAAGGAAGAGCATCTGAAATGCAGGAAGAAGATGAGCCGGTGAAATACTAAATCTGTATGTAAATTTCACTAAATCACCCTTCATGTTTGAGAAAAAGGGGATGTAATTGTATGGAGACAAGTCTTTTTTTTCCCCTTAAAGGAAAGAGGCCTTGATAGTAACATATAAGTTGCAAAGAATGCATAGTCCTGATTTGGCAGAGGTAATGGATTGAAATGCTGATGACCAGCAGAGCTCAGATGAGGATGAGTTCTTGTGCTATTGACGGTGGGAAGCTTTGCTTAATTTAGCTGCTTCTCTTCTTCTTGCTCCCCACAGATAGTAGCCTCAGTTCTTTTTGTTGTCTACTTTTAGTGCTTTCTGCTTTAGGCTTTTCAGGGTATGTGGGGGGGCTCTGGGGGAGTAATGCTGCTGAATTTTTAATTTTTTATGATTTAAAAATTCTGTCTGATAATATTGTAAACTGCCTTGCGATCCAAATTTGTCAGACAGCATTTTAAATAAATCAGTGACACTTTGAACTCTATTACCCTTACTGAATTGGGGAGGATGAGTTGACATATGATTGACGCCTCTTAGCCCACCACCAGGCTATAGCAGAATTGAGAAATAAATAAAAACTTTAGATATTCCTTTCATTTTGGAAAACTGCCTATTTATTAGTATAAGGTAAAGGTAAATGTTCCCTTGCTTGAAAGCCAGTCGAATCCGACTCTAGGGTTGCGGTGCTCATCTCCGTTTCAAAGCCGAAGAGACAGCGCTGTCCGAAGACGTTTCCGTGGTCATGTGGCCAGCATGACTAAACACCAAGGCACACGGAACGCTGTTACCTTCCCACCGAAGTGGTACCTATTTATCTACTTGCAATTTCTTGCTTTCGAACTGCTAGGTTGGCAGGAGCTGGAACTAGAGACGGGAGCTCACTCCATCATGCAGCACCCGGGTCTCAAACTGCTGAACTACTGACCTTCCACAGCCTGCAGTTCAGCGTCTTAACCACTTGAGCCACCGCAGCTCAAGTATATGTCAAGTATATATTCAAGTATATTACTTACATCAATATATGAAAAAGCAGGTTTGTGCTGAAACAAATGCTAGTTTAGTTCTCAAATACTGGGAATCGGAACTTCAGGAAGTCATTATGATATCAATTCACTGTGATCTGGGAAAAGATTATTTGCTTCAGATGGCATATTATGTCTTCAGGACATATATTCTTCCCACATGCATTAGTCACAATAGATTTCTGGGAAGTTTCTATTGTTCAGTGTCATAACATTTTCTTGTACTACTTTTTACTTTACCGACAGAAGATCCATGTGTACTTTAGCATATTATCTGAGGAGAAAGAATTGCAGTGCAAGGTCACGGAAAGCTTAAATTAGGTATATATACGTTTATTGAGTCAGCAAAGGTTCATATCATGAGTCTAAAGTCATTGACAAATGGTTTCAGTGGAATATTCATCTGTTTAATTCTGATTAAGAAGGGTTACATTCTCAGGGCAGTGTGTAATGCTTATGCTGGAAGTTGTGTTTGTACCTCTTTATTTAGCCACAATTCATCTAACAGTCTTTCCATCCTTCAATACTGTACTGTAAATTCTCCAAAAGGTTGTTACCCAGGATGGGTTTTCTGGCAGACAAAAAATGCAAGTATTCTTACCATGTATGTTACTATAAGATGTGTTGTTCTGGTATCAGCTATATCAGGAGCTGCCACATCTAGAGATGTTCATGTCTAAGAACCAGGCCATTCCAGAATCTCAGCAAAAACAGTATACTTGAGTTGTGGTGATGCTAAAATGTTGCCCTGAGATTTTTGAAGGTGAAATAGGATTTTAAAAATATGGCAAAGGGACAGACACTAGCTTTACACTAGCTGGTGTAAAGATGATGTTGCTGATTTGTAAGCCTTTTGAGATATAGATATGATATTGCTACCAACCAGGTGAAAAGAACCTTTTGTAACTGTTAAGGTTAAAGCATTCTTCTTTGGACACAGCCATAATTTTAGTACCAGCTGATCCTTAAACACATCAATAATAAGTATTTAAATTAAGGACATCTTAAATACAATAACCAAATTTATTCTCCAAATATTAGATCAGCATTACAGAGAAACATGGGGCATCGAACTTTGTAAGGAACTGCCCCCTGCTGGCTCAGCATATGTTTGCTTATAAACTCCAAATTATTTTTCAGTGTTACGTGTGGAATTCACACGATTTCTCCGTTGTGTTGTCGTGATAAACAGTGAAATCCTGCAGGCATTGTTGCTGTGAAAGTACCACTTATTTCTGCAAAATGAATAACAAGCGCTTGATAGTTGGTTTCCTTAGGCTTCAGTCTAAAGTACACTTCCTTAAAAGTTGGTTGCATTGAAGTAAATGTCATACATTTGGTGTAGTGGTTAAGTGCGCGGACTCTAATCTGGGAGAACCGGGTTTGATTCCCCACTCCTCCACTTGCACCTGGCTGGATGACCTTGGGCAAGCCGTAGTTCTGATAAGAGCTGTTCTTGAAAAAAAGAGCAGTTTCTGTCAGAGCTCTCTCAGCCTCACCTACCTCACAGGGTGTCTGTTGTGGGGAGGGGAAGGGAATGGAGTTTGTAAGCCGCTCTGAGACGCCTTTGGGTAGTGAAGGGTGGGGTATAAATACAATTTCTTCTCTTCCGTTCTTCTTCTCATACATATAAATCAGAGGTTCCCAAACTTATTTGGCCTACCGCCCCCTTTTCAGGAAAAAAATTACTGAGTGCCCCCCTGGAAATCTACCTTCAAGAAGTTAGGGTTAGGGGGGAAAAGATGCAGTGACAAATTTGTACATAGTAAAGAAAGATGATGTTGTAAGGAAAGAAAGATGTTGTTGGCCTGAATCCAGAGGCCAGCAGCAGCCACTACACAATAGCCCAGCAGCAACACCACCCTTACAAGGGTGCACATGCATTTGCAATTTGCAAATGCATGGCTGTGATTGGCTCTGGGGACCCCTCTCCCCCTCCCTCCCTGATCCCTCCCTGATCCCTGATCCCAGGGAAGACCAGGAGAAGGCAGGAAAAGACTGCTTTAGATAGGTTCTGGACTCTTCTTTCTTTATGCTTCCACCCTTATTTTTATTCAACGCCACCCAATTGCACCCAAGGTTCCTACCGCCCACCTGGATCATTCCAGCACCCCCTACCTACCCCCCCATTCCAGCACCATTCCAGCATTGCGCACTTTGGGAACCAGTGATATAAATGAATGTAGATACATAATAAGACTGATTTTTATTGTTTTTCTTTTGAATCATTCTTCTGAGTTTTAAAGTGTTCCTTAAAATGTGTACTTTCCAATTTGATAATTCTAGCAAGAGCATCTAATGCCCATTGTACATAAGTTACTCAGACACAGTAAAAATTTATTTTTTTTCATTTGGTTCCATGAAGCAAAACCAAAATGGTGTAACAAGTCTGTGATTTTAATGAAAAGGCAATTAAACAATAAATATAAAGCAAATTTATTTACATCACTAATGGCCTGGTTATGGTATATTGGCTACATTCAGGGGTCATTTCATAGAAAAAGAGGTGCAGGAGCTCATTAGCATAACTCATTAGCATAACTTATTCGCATATGCCACACCCCCTGACATCATCGGAAATGTGCCAGAAGGCAACACCCACCGCTCAGACTCCACTGGACTGTTTTGGATTGCTGTGGGGGGGGGGCGTGCAGATCTGTCCTTACAGAGGAGGGAGAGCTTGTACCTGAATAAAACTTGGTCTTAAAGATGCCACTGGACTGTTTTGGACTGGGGGCCGGGGGGAGCTCTGCAACTTACCTGGCTGCTTTTTGCTCTGACTGAGGGCTGCTAGGAGCAGGGGGTGGGACTTGTTGCATGTGCCCACCCCCTGGGCTCCTTACTGCCGGAGCTCCGCTCCTGTGCACTTCTGCAGGAAATGACCCCTGGCTACACTCACCTCAGATTAATCTGTGTTGAACATAATACTCACTTCCAAGTAAACATGAATTACATAGCATTGTTTTGTAAATGAGTTAAGATTAAAGTATCAGCATTAGCATTCAGGTAAGAGCACAAAGAAAAATCCTATATATCCGGCCCATCCAGGGCTCTCATGTGGCCTGCAAGCAACTGGTGCAAGGGAGGGAATACTGAGGGGAGTGGGCGAAGCCTCTCCATTGTGGCTTCAGCATGGCGGAACAACCTTGTCTGCAACAGTCAAGTATTGTGAGCATCTGGCTAGTGCTGTACTGCTGCCTCTCCAGTCTGCCTATTTGGGCTTTCCTCTGCACCCTCTTCCCAGCCCATGGAGCCTTGCAATGAGAATACACCAACTCAGAGCTTACCAGCTGCTTTTTTTCATACAGTTTCTATCTCCGGTACCTGGCATTACATTTCATGGCACACATGGCCTGGCCCAACAAAGTGACATTTATGTCAGATGTGGCCCTCATAACAAATGAGTTTGACACCTGTTCTAGGGGATGCACAAGCTACTCTACAGCTGCCAGTGTGCTACTAGTAGCTCACAAGCTAACTGCTGGAGACCCCTGATTTAGCATCTCATTTGTAGGTGAACATATCTTCATGTACATAATTCATTTTCATTAAAAAAAAATGGTTTGACATGTTTGCTATAATAGTTGTAGTGAATCACCCAGGTCCAGAGATTTGTTATTATAAACATGGGGATTCCGATGCATACTGAGTTCACCCCTCACACAGGCTTCCACTTTTATTTCCACAGAAGGCACAATTGTGCACCTACATCCCATTCAGCTGGGATTCAGAAAATATTACATCAGTGCTATTGATAATTCTAATTTATAGTTAACTGTGTTATTCATGATCCTTTTGTTTGTTTAAATTTAGGTGGAGAACAGACCAAAATACTATGGAAGAGAGTATGTACTGTATTATTTGTAAAAATTACTTTATAAGCAATCAATTGAAATGTGTCATGGTGCAATTTAAAATTAATGCAGAATTTTTAATGAAGAAATCATTTGACACAAGATTGCATCTCCATTATTTTGTGCATGGTTGTTAAGTTCTTTTTGAAAGCGCAAAATCTCAACTTGCATGTGAATGAATTGTCTCTCCAGATGTTATCTAGAGCATGCATAAGTTTCTGTATCATTCTGCAATTAGGGTAAAACCATTAATTTCTTTTTACAAACCAATTTAGGGCTCTTTTTTATTAAAACATTTCGAAAGCTGGCTGTGTCTGTCTGTGCCTCAACAATAGTCAGCAATTAAAGCATTCTATTCCCATGTGCTAGAACAGAAAGGAAAAGATGCTTGGGGTTTTGTTTTGTTTTTTACAATACATTTACTGTGTTTCAGGTAAAAGAATTTTGCTTAACTTTGAAAAGCTGCAAGGACTGGTTTACTAATTCAGTAGCTAGTAAAAATCTGAAACCTGATACAGTAGTTAAATTAAGGTCATAGATGAATTACTCATTACAGTAAAATGTTAAGGTCCTATTACTTTGTTGCATTACTAAGGTCAAGAACTTTCCAAATGTTGATTTCTTCTCGTTGGAGAAGGAGGGTAAATGAGCCCATTTAAAAAAAAAATAGTAGTTTCAAAGTCACTTTGCCACTCTTGTCCAAGCACATGATAGACAGGACTTTTATTTTTACTAGATGCAATCATATGTTACCTTTTCCAGGATTAATTTGTACCCTGATTCACCAGAGTTTAGTTATATATTTATATTGCTATCCCACTAGCCAGCAAGTGACCACAACTCTATGGACGTACATGACAGCAGAGCCCAGGCATTCTGAGTCAGAGAGTCTAGACAAATTCGAACTCTGTCACCTTTATTTTCAACAAACGATCCCCGATTCTTCTTTCTCATTTTCTTCCATAGGTCAGATCTTTATATTAGCTAAGAATAAGAGCTGCCAAGGCAGTGTCTTAGGCTTCTTACATCTAGGGTACCGTCTTTGATTTTCCTGAGAGTGTAGCAGAGAAATGACATATAAATCAATTCTGTGTTTAGAGAGGTAAAATGAAGGCAAACTGAGGGAAAAGACATTATAGGCCACGGTCACGCGGCAAAGTTGCCGCAGGAGAGGTACACCCCAACATCTGGGAAGTGGAGCGCACCCGTGGCTTACCGCCGACAATGCGCGTTAAAAAAACTAGTACCTCCAAGGTACTAGTAAACGTTTGCCACGGGCTGCCTCCAGATGCCCATGGTGTGATCGTGCCGGCGTGTGGCATTCCCCTCCTGTCCCTCGTTTACTCGCCGGCGCCGAGGGAAGGACCCGTGGTGTGCTGCCGGCGCGTCTGATCATGTAATCGTGGATCAAACTGCGCTGGGGCAATTAGCCATGCCTCCCCCCTGCGATATCTGGCCCATGTGACCGGGGCCATAGATCAGAAACAAATTATGTGCTGAACATTGATTGGTTTCTCAGTTGACCTTGTGCCCTGGCAGTCATTGGTCATGCTACAAGATAATTTGACAGGATTGTTGCAGATTATCCTTCAGAGAAAGTACCACTTCCAGTAGTAAAATCCCACTTAAAATGAATCCCAACTTCCTTGATTGTAACTGCTTTACCTTACTTGCAGGAGAGCCAATTCCTGATGAACTTTTGTTTGACATTTAAAAGTTTGGGTCCAAAATAGACATGTTTAAATTATTTATTTGCAAAAATATGACCACATATTTGTACATGTTCTGCTCTCCTCTCCTAGTTCATTCTTTGCAGATAGCACTTCATATGCAGACTATACTTAAGAACAGGGGTCGTTTCATAGAAAAAGAGCTAGGGGAACTCATTAGCATAACTCATTAGCATATGCCACACCCCGACATCACCGGAAGTGTGTCATAAGGCCAC